GTAAGTTCGTAACTAGGAATTCACGCCATAATTTGGCTTCCTTAGATTGCCTCCTGCCCTAGTCCTTTGTTGAAGTTTTCAATTAGTTCATGTGTAACCTGTAATCCTTAATGTGCACGTCTCAATGTTTGTTTTGTTGTTACCGCGATGCTGTTTTTCATGTCTAAGCAAGGAACACAGCCGGTAAACTATTGTTGATAACATTTATAATAGATTACAAATGCATGCGTGCACCAGTTTTCATTCAAAATTTTGCTAGTCTGGAAAGATGCCAAATATCTGTACCGTAGTAAATTGCTTCTTTCAAATGCGTAGTGTTTTTAGCTTTTCCTGTCATTACATCAGTGCATGTGGCACACTGCTTGTTTGATTCTTCAATGCTGTTTCCAGTCATTGCGAAAATTTGACATTCAATTGATTTTGTTATATCAATCTAATATTTGCCTGTTCTCATTGCAGTGAAGGCCTTCCCCAGAGATGACCAATCCAAGAAATGCCATCTCACTGCCTTCCTTGGCTACAAGGCTGGGATGACTCACATTGTGCGTGAGGTCGAGAAGCCTGGTTCCAGTATGTTTACTAACTCTCTGTCTATGTTCATATTCTTGTTTTACCCAATTGATTCTCTGTTAGTTAACTTAGAATTTGTAAATGTGTTCTGCATATGTGTGATAACACTCCATTTGATATCCTACAGAGCTACACAAGAAGGAGACATGTGAGGCTGTCACCATTGTTGAGACACCCCCGATTGTTATTGTTGGACTTGTTGCCTATGTGAAGACTCCTCGTGGCCTTCGTACTCTCAACTCTGTCTGGGCACAGCATCTCAGCGAAGATGTGAGGAGAAGGTTCTACAAGAACTGGTGCAAGAGCAAGAAGAAGGCCTTCACCAAGTATGCTCTGAAGTATGACAGTGATGCTGGCAAGAAAGAAATCCAGATGCAGCTTGAGAAGATGAAGAAGTATGCTACTGTTGTCCGAGTTATCGCCCATACCCAGGTCAGAAATTGTCTTGGTACTTTCTATCTTTTGCCCTTGTTGTTCACTCATGACAGTAATGTTACTCACGTTGCTCTCTTGATGTGATTCAGATCAGGAAGATGAAGGGGTTGAAGCAGAAGAAGGCTCACCTCATGGAGATCCAGATCAATGGTGGCACCATCGCTGACAAGGTCGACTATGGTTACAACTTCTTTGAGAAGGAAGTCCCCATTGATGCTGTATTCCAAAAAGATGAGATGATTGACATCATTGGAGTTACCAAGGGTAAGGGTTATGAAGGTGTTGTGACACGTTGGGGTGTCACCCGTCTTCCCCGCAAGACCCACAGAGGTCTTCGCAAGGTTGCCTGTATTGGTGCCTGGCATCCTGCTAGGGTGTCCTACACTGTTGCTCGTGCTGGTCAGAATGGATACCACCACCGAACTGAGATGAACAAGAAGGTCTACAAGATTGGCAAGGTTGGACAGGAAACTCATGATGCCTCTACTGAGTTCGACAGGTGTGTTTTTGTTAGCTTTTGTTTGTAATCTATGTACTTTCTGGTCTGAATTGTATCCGGTGATGATCCTTTTGCACTGGTTTGATCTTACAGGACCGAGAAGGACATCACTCCGATGGGCGGCTTCCCTCACTATGGTGTGGTGAAGGCTGACTACCTGATGATCAAAGGATGCTGTGTCGGCCCCAAGAAGCGCGTGGTGACCCTCCGCCAGTCCCTGCTGAAGCAGACCTCTCGTCTGGCCCTGGAGGAGATCAAGCTCAAGTTTGTCGACACCTCTTCCAAGTTCGGCCACGGTCGCTTCCAGACCACAGACGAGAAGCAGAGGTTCTACGGCAAGCTCAAGGCTTGAGCTGCCGCCGCGCATCATCAGTTATATCATTTTGTCAAAACGAACATGTGATACTTGATTACTTCCCCTGCCTAAGTTTTGTACTAGTTGATGTTTTCAGAATCTGGCTCATCTATGAATTCTTCGTGTCATGTGCTATTGTTATTGTGATTTAGCTGTTGAAACCTATTTAGAGTCGTACCTTGTCGCAAATTTTCTGAAATGAGTTTGCTTGCCTAAAAGGTTGTTTATCTAGTTTTCTGCGAGCTTTGAAGGAATGTGTAGAAGCCATTTTCATCGTTACCGTACCGGCTGTTAGAAATAGGTCTGCTTGCCTAGGACTTTCTTGGTACAAATCCATGCCATTTTAAGTCTTCTGAACCAGACCTGTTTTAGTAACCAGGTTGATTGCAGCACCGCTCGCTTGCTTATCTCTTAGTCGCACGCTCGTCGCCATCCTGTCTCGGCTCCTTCGATTGGATTACCGGCCACCTCCTCCCCAGTTCCTTCTTTCCTAACTCACGTTCGCTGGTTTTGTGGCACTTGCCGCCATCCTCCACTGTTCCTCTAAACTAACTCATGTTCGTCGCCATTCTCTCTCGGCTCCTCATGTGTCCCTCTTCCCTAACTCCTTACGTCTGCACCATCCTAACTCCTCACCAGTGGCTTTCTCATCCTCACCGTTGATCTCCGCCACGAGTGCCTCCATGCCCGCCGGAGTGTGCATTCTCATCGTTGATGTCCGTCACGAGTGCCTCTATTCCCGCCGGGGTGTGCAGCTGCACCATGCTAAGCTAAGGTCCATCATTGCTAAAACCAGCAATGGCGAAAGCTGCAACCGGCGCCTGCATAAGCTACGATAGGCCCAGTGAGGACCGAGGAGTAAGGGAAAACTGCAATCGGTTCCCGTGGAAGCTATAATGTGCATCCTCACCGTTGATCTCTGCCACAAGTGCCTCCATGCCTGCCGGGGTGTGCAGCTGCACCATGGTAAGCTACGGTCTGCCACTGCTAAAACCAGCGGTAGCGAAAGCTGCAACCGTTGCCTGCATAAGCTACGATAGTGCCCAGTGAGGAGGAAGCGAAAGCTGCAGTCAGCTCCCGTGGAAGCTACAATGCGCATCCTCACCGTTGATCTCCGCCACGAGTGCCTCCATGCCCGCCGGGGTGTGCAGCTGCACCACGCTAAGCTACGGTCCACCACTACGGAAACCAACGATGGTGAAAGCTACAACCGGCGCATCCATAAGCTAGACAGTGCCGAGAGAGAGGACGGGAAAGCCGCAATCGGCTCCCATGGAAGCTACAACCGTTTTTGCTAGGACCGACGAGATGGCAGGCTGCGATAAGAAAGCCGAAGTTACGACTCGCGTCTGTCGATGCCATGATGCTGACGTCGAGATGATGCAACGGGCCGCCGCGATGCTACAATGGGAATCACTAGGAGCTGCAACCAGACTGTG